TAGGAAACCCATCAAACACCGAGGCAGGGATACTGGCCGTCGTCGTCCCCATCGTCATGCTATCCCGTTCTGCCATCGAGCGGGGTGTCCCGTCCATGCTCGACGAATAGAGTTAACATGTCTTATCCCTCTGGATCACGGGACTCTGGGGCCTTCTGGCTGACAGGGGGATGCCGTCGAAAAGGTATAAAAAGGCCCTTCTTTTTCGACAAAGAGCTGGTTCTCCTTCTTCTGTTTTCTTCCTCCTTCAGTTTCTTCAAACACCATCGCCAGACATTCCAACAGACCAAGCCCTGCCCTCCAAGGAAGCCCAAGGCCTTCCTCAACATCTGACACCAACACCAATACACCTCATCACCATACACAAGCACCCTCTCCAGAGGCCCTCCTCCTCCTCCTCCTCCTCCTCCTCCTACCAAAAGCACCATCACCCTCACATTGTACTTCTTGACCCCCCCACCAGGCCGTCTCACCTGCCAGCCTGACCACCACCCACCTACCCGCACTCCCACACTTCTCCCCCCCCCCCCACAAACAAGAACCAGTCAGCCAGCCACCATGTCGTCCTACTCGCCAACACAGTACTACTCCGGCACCATGCCCATGCCGGTCCCCCACCACAAGGGTCACCACCAGGGCTACTACTACCACCCGGACAGCACCTACTCAGTCTCCCCTCCCGAGGCTGACCCCTCGGTGAGCTCCGGATCCGGCGTGCCGTCATACAGCACGCCGGGATATTCGGCCACTACCAGCTACGCCGGCAGCACCCACGGCGAGTACGACTCGGAGCGCTCTGCGAGCGGCGTTGACTTCAACGAGTACATGCACGAGCATCTCGCTCAGTCATTTGACCCCCTCGGCTTGGACAAGGCCATGGCCACCCAGGCGCAAACGTGAGTTATTCCTGTTGATTCGTTTACCCTGCGTCTCCCGCGTACACCATTGCCACGAGCACACGGGCGCAGGTTCTCGGCCGAGCAAATTTGCTCGGTTGGAGCGAGGACGCCCGCGAGTGCCTCAATCGGCGCAGGCGGTGGCCGCCATGCGACAATCGTGAGCTCGAGCAAAGGGACGGGCAATTGCTAATATTTTTGCAGTTCCGGCCGTCTTAACGACAAGCACCGCCAGCTGCTGGATCTGCAGAAGCAGGCGCAGGCCCGGCTTGCGAGGTCGCGAGCCCGATTCGCTGAGGGCATGGACGACGCGCGTGAGGTGCGTCAGAACCTGGAGTGGACGCAGAAGAAGGTTTCGTAAGTTTCGGCCCCCCTCCCAAAAGAAAAGTTTCCACCTTCACCTTGTGCTCGCGGGAGGAGGCCGCAGCTCAATCCATCGTCGGGCTCAGCGGGCGAGCGGAGAGAGCAGCGAGCAGAAGAACCGATGAGCGGCCAGAATTACCCCTGGTTGCATGCAGTTGTCTCGATTTGCACGTTTGTGTGATTCGTAGAAGCAAAGGCTGACTTTGCGCATCTCACAGGTCACTCAAGACCAAGGCGTCAAAAAAGCACTCCAAGGAGTACAGCAAGGCTCGCGCAAGGCACCCTTCTCCGGAGTACTAGATTCGCACTGCCAACCGACTCGATTTCTCGCTCTGAAAGATTGCATGTCTGCTATTTCAAGAGCGAGCGAGGTGATTGGGCGGGCGGGCGCGCGGGCGACGGTGCTTCGATCGAGGGGCGTCAGATTCATTTCATTTCATTCCATTTTCACCTTCCCCGAGCTGTGGTGAGGCTCAGGGACAAGGGAGGGAAAAGCACATTATCAGGGGGAAAAAAACGAAAAAGTTGCGCTCTATGACGACTCGGGAGCGATCATTCGTCCAATCCGTTCGCTCGTCCGTTTGACGAGAGACCGGGGGGGGGAACAGCAGAAACAAAATTTACCGGGGTTGGAGTGTGGTGCGGAATGGGCGAGGATGAGAACTCACCTTACCCACGGATCCTAGCACCAAACCCCCAGGAACACGCCAAAACAAGAAACCCCTGTCGGAATGCATCTCCCACGTGGATTTGCAGAACACAGCCAACGGGGATGGCGAGAGGCATCACACACACGCACATACGGAGACAAGCGCGCACGCAGATACGAAACCTTACGAACGGAAAATGAGGAGCCGCAGCAATACCAGCAAACCACACGCGCACGCACACCCACCGAAAAGGCTGGCACAGATGAGATCTGGATCTAGATCTGCATCACACAGCAGGCGACAGCAACAGCGCCGATGGGGTGGTGGTGGTGGTGGTGGTAATGGTTGCGGTGGTGAGCAAGCCCCGTAGGGCTGCATATCACACTCGCGCAGCCCGGTCCCTACGCACATCTCTGGAGACACACCCCCTCCCCCACCCCACAGGCCCTCCGCTTGCAGCAGGAATGGCCAGGGGTCTTGTGGCTCGAATGGGAGGGTGGGGAGATGCAGAGCGAGGCAAGCGAGGTGACGTTGGGCGGCAAGGCGCACGTGGGCCCGGGTTGCGTTTGCGCGACGCGGCATCAGCCCAGCTGTCTGGATCGGGGAATTCCTCTTCCTTGCATTCTGTGTGCGTGTGTCTGTGTGTGCCACCGTTTCCTTTTCACGATTATGATGATTACATTGGGCGGCGTTTATTTGGAGTTTGGAGCAAGCAGGGCATTTCCGGTGGCATCCACTGGCCCCTCGTCTTTCCCCCCCCCCCCCCAGCTTGTGTTGCGGCGGTCAAGACTCGACAAGGACGGGGTGACGTTGAAGAACGGGAGTGCCCGCCAGCGCCGACCCGGCGCTCTGTTCACCAGGGGCATGATTGGGCGGACGCGCAGCTGCCCCATGGGGTACTGGGGACAGGGGAGAATGGGGCCGCAGGTACAGGTACATTCCAGCGGGACAGATCGGGCTGAAAAATTCATGTCGTGCGCCCATCTGCAGGAACGAGAGAGACAGAGCGTGCAGGGGAGGGGGGTGTGGGCGGAGGCTGCAGGAATCTCCTCTCGTCCTCTGTCCCTGGCTGGGGGACCCGGCGGCAAATCAGGCGCAGTGGTTCGCGTGGGAACGTAAGAGGGAAGAAAGGGACTACCCGTCCCACCACTACGGTGCTTGCTAGGCCACCCCCCCCCCCTTCTCACGCCGCTCCCTTGCTCACGCACGAACCACCCATGTCCCAAGGCCCGAGCCGAGACAGGGTGGCAGGGAGCTGGGAACAGGTTGGCTCGGGGAGGAGGGGGCGTGTGTGTGCGCGCAGACGGGCAGGACAGGCACGCGGCGGGACAGGGATGCTCCGCTCAGGTGGAGGGCTGGACGGATGGATGAATGGGTGGATCAGGATCTCTCCTGCTTCCTGGGGTCACCTCTTTCACATGCGCACACACTTGTCCCTTTCGGGGCTGTAGAGTACTGCTACTTTGGGGAGAGGGGGTTTTCAGCGCGAGGCCCCCTGTCTCCTACGGCACGGGCAGCTGGTTGGTAAGTCACTGTACCTGACGGGGTCGTCGAATGTACCTGGGGGCAGGACTGGGGAGGGTAAACAGAGGGGGGGGGATAGGCAGGCGGGCAGGCAGGCGAGGACAAGGTTCTGACGAAAATACCCGGCACGCGCTGGGGGGAGGGAGGGGGAGGGAGGAAGCCACCAGGATGTCTATTGCTCTCATTGGGTCTAGTATGATGTTTGTTTTGTTGTTTTTGCCCGAAAAGGGGGGGCGTTATGAGGGGGTGGACTCGTGTGCCTTTCCCGATTTGTTTCCTTGTCCATACATAATTTGTAGGCCAGAATACCAGAATAGGATACGATATTGACTGTTGACCGGGAGGGGGGCATGAGAGGGGGCAACTCACGAACCCACCCCCTATCAGCCTCCCTCCCTTCTGTCCTCCCGCCTTGGAATCGTGAGAAGAACGATGGGGGTTGACCAGGCCGACCCCGTGCTTGCTGCTCCACCACCCTAGAGCCCGGTGACCTGCCTTCCCACCCATCCAACATGTCCCACACACGTGCGGCTGACGTAGCGCCCTCCCGGCCCTGCCGTCCGTACAGTGTGCTTCCCACGCTGGGGTGTTGTGTGTTTTCGTGTGGGATATGGCTGGGTGGTGAAGGCACACTGTGCTGGCCTGGCCTGGCCTGGTGCCCATCCATGTTGGGTGGGCTCCTCTTCTCCTCCATCATGTGATGATGGATGGGGCTGGTAGGTAGGTAGGGTGGTGGGTTGCTTCTTGCTTTTCTCCTTCTCCACACCCCATCTTCCCCCCATCCCCCCCTGCTGACCTATACACCAGCGTGTGGCTTCCCCTTGTTCAGTATGTCACGTGACATATGGTGTTTCTCTTTTGCTTTCTCTGTCTGTTTCTTGTCGAAGGGTACCGAGGTCTGGTATATATATATGTATGGATGTATATACCCACTTGGACATGACTTGGATATAGTCGATTCCCTTTTTCCTTGCTTGGTCAGGAAAGTCTCTGGCTGTGGCGACGGGTGTTGATGTGTTTCCTTTCTCCTTTTTGTGACCTGAATCCAGTGGCTGGGAGGGAGGGAGACGATTACACCGTCCATGCCTGCCGATGGACAGACACGACGGCCAGGAAGACTTGATACGATGAGGGCATCGGTTGTCGGGCGGGTGGATGGATGGTGTGTTGTTTCTGGCATGTCGTCGTTCGTCGTTCCATATTATCTATCCGCCACTATCTCATCTCTCTTCCTCTTGTCCTGCCTAGCCCGAACATTGGAGCATGCCAAGGAAAGCGTGGCCTTTCCTCGTCCGGGGCATGGATGCATGCTGCAAGGCTTGCCATCGGCCCTGAGCCCGGAGTTTGGGCAAGAGGTCATGGTATCGATGATCGATGGATGGCCATCATCCTCCACTCAATGTGCTCCTGATTCACAGGTTCGCCGGCGGGGGCCTCCTCGGGGGTGGGCGTGACGGGGTTCACGGTCAAGCCGTCCGCAACTCACCGTGGACGGCCAGGCCTCCTTGACGGGTGGGCACCACGCCAGGAGAACAGCACCACCACTGCTGGTCACGTCTTCTTCTCCTTAATTGCCGTTGTCGCCCGGGCCTACTGCAGCCGCTACCGGCCCGCCACCACCACCGCCCCTCGCTGCCGCCGGCGATGGCGACGGCCACGCGCCCCGGGCCTCCAGCCCGCGCTGCTTCTCGAGCCGGTCCCACGGGTTCTCGACCATCCTGGCTATGAGGCGCGGGTCCCACGCGCCTTCCCACCATGGCGCCTTTTGTGCTGGACCTCCTCCTCTGGCGCCCGGCCCTGGCGCCCGGTGGTGGTGGTGGTCCTGGTGGTGTTGTGGTCGTGGGGGGAGCGAGTGATGCTGCTGCTGACCGGGCCCCGACGTGGATGGGGTTGCGTCGTCGACTGTTGCGAGAGCCGCAGCAGTAGTAGTCCCCACGTCTGCGCCCCCCTCTCCATCCTCGTCCTCGTCATCGGCCAGGTCAATCTCCTCAGGGTTGTTGTTGTTGCTGCCGCCATCATCGCCCGATACCACCGGCTTCGGCAGGCTCATGGGCAACCGGCGCTTGCCGAGGGGCGCGTTGTTTGCGCCGGTCTGGGAGGGCAGGTCGTGCTGCTTGCGCTTCTTGTTCGCGGCGCCGCGCTGCATGCCGAAGCCTGTAAAGCCCATTGCCGCCGCCATTGCTGCCGCGTCTGGGTCGTCGTCTGAGTAGGTGTCGGCCATGTTTTTTTGCTGTTGGGCTCTTGAGGTTGTGTGAGTGAGTGAGTGAGTGAGTGAGATGCTCTGAGAAGGAAAAATATTGCGCTCGCTCAATTGACGGGCTTCGTACTCGGGCACTCAAGCACAGGGGGGTGTTCTGAAGTGTGTTGCTGTATGTCGCGACTAGTGAGTGGGCAAGGTTTGAGGCAAGGGTTCGCAGGTGTTCGCGATGGAGGCTGAAAGTGGAGGCGAGCAAGTCTGCGGTTGTCGATAGCAGATGGGCGGGAAGAAGAAGTGAGTGAAAACCCACGCTTGCGCAGCCCTATCAGAGCCCTGGAGGGATTAAGACTAAGGACCCCTGCTGGGGTTGGAGCTCTCCCCTGGTCGGCGGATGTGGGGTCCGGCTCTGGAGCTTTAGCCCCTGCGCTGGGGTACCAAGCACTTACACAGTAGACCAGCGGGGTCTGCCTTACACAGCAGCTGGACGAACTCGGCTCCAAGGCGAGGCGCAGGAAGCATTTTGCGTTAGCAACCCCAATGGACGGCCTCGTCATGACGACGTGAGAAAAATTATTGCGCAAGGTCATAGTATGGCGGTGTAGCCGCCTTGAGATAAACGTTGCTTTTGTAACGTCTAAGCTAGCTTTAAGACGATTTATTATAATAAAGACGATCCTTATAAATTATAATAAAAAGGGGCTTAATTCTTTTTTAAAAAAAATAATTTAAAACTAAAATTAATAAAAAGATAATAAAAAAGAGTAATAAATTATAATTTTATATTATAAAAAAGTTAAAAAGTATTTAAATTAATAATAAAAATAAAATATATTAATTTATTAATTAATCTTATAAATAATTAATTTATAGTTTTAATAGTTTTATATTAAAAAATAAATTAATTATTTAGTTAAATAAATTTAAATTTATTACTTTAATGAATTTAACTTTATTTTAAAATAAATTTATAATATAAATATAAGTTAAAATATTATAGGTTAGTATCTTTATTACTCCCTGCCATCTTTTGGTCAAGGTATGGACGCCCCTGCGGAATGGTTAACTCCGTATTCGGCCTGGCTGATGAGCAGTAAGGGGCCGTCACTGACATTTGTAAGAAGAGGAAGAGCAACTTACAGCACAATAGATCTTGTCTTTGCTTTTGACGTATTCCGCCTTGGTCTTTGGGTCGGTGAAGAGCTTTCTGACTTCGGCGTCACTCATGCATTTCGCAACCCCCTTGTGTGCAAAAAGAACATGATCATGGTCCTTTGGAACAGCCTTGATACCCTCAGATTTCAAGTAAGCGATACACGCATGGATGTTTGCCTTCTTCTCATTGTCGTCATAAGTCTTCAAATCATGCTCAAACTGTCTGAATAGAGCAGCCACTAGATCCTCAGTCGAGGGTGCGGATGCCACTTTAGTCGAGGATGGAGGGCCCTAGAGAGGATGTGAGAACTGTTCCAAGGGAGGTATGGGCCTTACTGGTGCTGTTTAATTACCATACAGTATCCTTCGTTGGCGCGACCTTTGAAGCCAGGCGGTGGCAGCCGCCAGCGAGGATCTGCCATGAATTCCTCATCTGTTGAGCACTTCACCTCACCATCCATGGCCCATATACAGAACTCGGGATGTACCTCTTCGCATTTGTTGCCGTCTGGGTAACCATGCTCCTTGACGAAGGCAAGAACGGCTCGCATATTCTCTAGACGATTGGCGTTGGTTTCTTGTGCGATATCACTTTCAACCATTCTAATACAACCGTGCCATCTCTCGATGTCCTTTTTTGTTGCACCCTTTACGGCGTTCGCTTGAGGCGAGGATACATCTGGCCCACTGTGTTTTTCGTCCTTGGTGATCGGCTCAGGGGCCGCGGTAGATCGCTGCCTGGCGGGCATAACGGCTGTGACGGACCAGGTTGAAGGGTGCGGGGGAAAAAAAGAAGTTAACTAAGATCAGACGTACGTGCTAAGAGGTGAAAAGGGTGAGGAAATAAGAGAGCGTGGACATGTTCCGTTCAAGGTCTGCCTTCATTCATGTTGGCTCCAAGGTCTGCCTAAAATCATGTTGGCTCCAAGGATTGAAACCCCGCTTGCTCAGCTGGGGTGGTCTGCCACCACATGTTGCATTCGCTCCATACGATGCATCTCCATTAATTGCATTGTGAAAATTGCAGGTATGTGCTAACACACACTTGATATACATGGGATGGAAAGTCATCCGTACTAACCGCATTGGGTGCCATCAGATTAACATGACATTTTCACCCAAAATTCAATATCATTACGTATCAACTCCGGAAGGCCTTTGGGCAATAAAAGACAAGGAGGTCTTGGAATATTGAAACTGACGGTCGAATGTCACATTGGGATGGAAGATGGTTGTTGGTTAAGATCTAGGGGCGAATGGACAGACGGAACCCATCAAGCCCTCACCAACTTTCTCCTCGAGAGCAAAGGTCCCCGACCTCAGTCATTCCTCTCAGATCGGCTGTGCATAAAAAAATCAAGCAGAAAAAGAACTCGAGGAAGATCAGGCCAATAGTCAATCGCAGAAATTGAAGGTTGCATGCTACACACTAGACGCGCAGGTACAAAACCTCTGACATCATGGCTGAAACATCCTGGCCAACCCTGAATGTCTCAGGCGCAGGCTCTCATCTCGGGCTCTGGGCCAGACGTCGAGAGGCTCACTCACACTTGCCTTCAGCCTCTTTGTGTTCCCAGCCTGGCCTCCCCAAGACCTGCTTGTTCTGTGTTCCGCTTCTTGCAACCCCACCAATGCTGAGAACTTGACCTTGAGATGGTCAACGTCTGGCATTGCACTGAAAATATCCGGCACCCATCCGACAACGCTCACCACGCATATTCTATACATCTTGGCGCCACAACAGTCAAGTCCAATTGATATACACGACACAGAGGCCAGCCACCCAGGGCCAGCCAAGCCAACATGTCCGCCCCCAAAGAGGCCATCACCCTCCGCATCCCATCCAAATATGCCTCATCATCATCACCCTCGCCCTCCTTCTCACCACCGCCCCTGGACTGGCTCCACCGCACCTGGACGGTAACCCACTCCACCCTGGCCATGTGGCGCACAGCCCGCAACGTCCGCATAACCTACTCCCCGCTCCCGGCGGACCCGGCGGGCCGCGCGCGCATCGACGACCTGGTGCAGTACGAGAAGAAGACCTCGGGCAAGGCCGCCGTCAAGACGGTCCAGGGCGTCGACACGTGCTCCTCCCCGGGCGAGGCCGGCACGGCCAGCTGGGACTGGCGCGGCAAGGGCCTGCTCGCGTTCGTCACCAGCCACTGGGAGGTCGTGGGCTGGGGCGAGCGGGACGCCGCGGGTGGGGAGGGGGAGGGGGGAGGCAAGGAGAGGTGGGCCGTCACGTGGTTCGCGCCTACGCTCTTCACCAAGGAGGGCGTGGACCTGTATAGTGACCGCAAGGGCGGCATGAGCCCTGCGCTTGCGGCGGATATACTTGCTGCGCTGAAGGGGTTGGGCGCCGAGCCGCTTGTGAGGATGGTCGAGGCGGATATGAAGGAGGTCGAGGTCCGTCTGCCTTGGCTGGAGGGGTAGGTCGGCCTGTAACTATGACTTACAGATAATATAAGGGTGTCTCCTGTAGTCTTCAACTAGGTACGTGAGGTTTATAATGAGATATCCCTTCAGGAGCAGCACAATTAGGACATCCCAAGCCGCGTTGAGTGTGTACTCATGTTTGAATTGTTGTTATCAGTAAAACATGCACGGCGTTAACGTGCTGGGTATCTTTTGCTAAATATGCTATCGGCGCCTGTCGTCCCTTTCACGGTGTCCATGGCGGTCGTCCCCATCATCATATCGACGTGACCGCGAGGACCTGTCCCTTTCCCGAGACCTTTCCCTGTCCCGCCTGTGGTGCCTGTGGTGCCTGTCTTTCTCGGGCTCTCGGCTATGCTCCCTCTCTCTGTGCCGTCGACGATCCTCTCGATGGCCGTGACCATGACTGCTCTCGCGGCGCTCGCCACTTTGATGCCTTCGCCCAGAGCGTCCTGAACGGTGCGAGTGTCGCCGCAGCTCATCCGCATCCCCACCGCTGTCCCTGCCCTCGCCTGCGTGGTCTCGCCCCCTCCTCCGCCCCTCCCGCCTCCGATCTTCCTTCCGGAGCTCTTCCAGCTCGCGCGCCCGCTCCTCGGCGTCCCGCCGCCTCTCCTTCGCCATGTCGCGCACCTTCTTGGCACCTGACTTCATCGCGGCCAGCGGGTCACTGGCGTCCAGCCTCGCGGTCTCTCTCCCCCGCCTCTTGGGGTCGTCCCTGCCCCACACGTTCGTGGTGGGCGCCTCCATGCCCCTCTCAGCAGCAACAACAGGGACGAGGGCGGTCGATGAGACAGTCGGGGTGATGCGCCTGCGTTTCGCATCGGCATACCACGGCGTGTCCGCAAATTCGCCCTTGAGCGCACCCGTCGTGTCCCGGCCGGCCACGCCGCGCGCCTTGCCCTCCTGCTTCTTCTCGCCAGGGTCCTCGGGCACAGCCCCGACCAGGTCGATGTGGCCCCTACCATCCACGATGTCCACATCCACATCCACACCCCCCTTCTCCTCCTGCCCGCCCGCCCCGAGCTCCGCCCTCACCCGGCCGCCCTCCTCGGCCCGCTCGCGCGCGACCCTCATCTCAAAGTCGGTGTCGTCCTCGCCGGCGCGCTTCCGCTTCCTGGGGCCGCCCAGCCAGGCGCCGTCGCGGCCACGCTCGCGGCGCAGGTATTTCTTGTCGGAGGGGTCGGCGGGCTGCTCCTCCTCTGGCAGGGGCGGCGGGGTCTCGCCGCGCAGGATGGCGAGGCGGCGGGCGGCGTCGGCATCCTGCATGCGCTGCTCGGCGGCGTGCTCCTCGGCGGCGGCGGCGGCCTCGTCGCGCTGGACGCGGGCTATATTGTCGGCATTGTAGACGTTCCAGGACTTCTTGCCCAGGAGGTGGCTGTTGGGGGGGGGGAGTCAGCCAAGTGACTTGCCTTTTTGGTTGGAGGAGGGAGGGAATTACTTACAGTGGCATATTTGTTGGTATCTGCCTAGCGATCGCCGCTGGCTTTGAGAGTTAATTGCTCCCGATGTTTGGGATGTTTATTGTCGATCGCGGGAGGTTGAGAGCTGATGGCCAATTATCTAATCGATAAACGCCCCCAAAGCTTCAGCGTAACACGTCATTTGGGGTCTCGGGTAGCTAATGCTAGCTAGCCCCAGGCCCAGGGACGTCATGTCGGTCCACCGACGGCACCCAAGCTGTTGGTGGGGCCGGTCAGCTGGACCCCTGAGTTGCTGCGCCTGCGCCTGCATGTTGGCTGGCCTCTTTCAGCTGAACACCTGTGCATGTTTGAAACGCCACCAGCTTCACATGCAGCGCATCTGCGACTTCCTAGTCCGACTGAGCACCGGACGCACCTGTAACTTGTCAACTTCATCAAGAGTCATACAAGACAACCCGGGCTCCCATCTCTTGTCTTGAATGTGAGTTACCACACCTCTTGGTCCCTTCAACGCCACACACGCTGACCCTCTCTTACGTCAGTTACACCAGACAACTACCACCGCCGTAGAACCAAACCACAGCCGATCGCATTCCACGACCACACTCACGACCACACTCGCGATGAGCAGACTTCCCCCCGGCGGTGGCCTTCCCGGTGCCCCTTCAGAGAAGGACCCGCGCTATGCATATGGGAGGTCGCCTCAACCACCACAGCCCCGCCCCATGCGAGACCCATACGCCCAGGGCGGCGACCCTCGTCCCATGTCCAACAGACCTGCCCCGCCCGCCGCCAACCAATACTCAAACGCCCAGAGGAACAGGCTTGCCCTGACCGTCGACGACCAGAAGGGAATCGAGGCCAAGTACCTCGAGGGCTACCACAGGACCAACGTCGCTGCTGTCAACGGCCAGGACTGGGGTCTAGCCAGCGAGCGCGACACAACCTTCATCAAGATCAACAACCGCGGTCGCGAATATGTCATCACAGTCAGGCCCTTCCCGATGGTGCCACCCGGCTGCATCTGGTTCGGCGAACCGCACCGCATGACCCTGGGCGTTGCCCTCAACGACAAGGTCGACGCCGAGTCCTTCAACCCCATCGAGCTGGGCCAGAAGGGCTACCTGGGCTCTGTCGATGTTTCCGTCACCTTTGCTTCGGTCAGGAGCATGCCCAACACCCCATACAGGCACCAGGACCTCCAGACCCTGTTCATCAACAAGTTCAGGGGCCAGATCCTCGCCCCGGGCCAGCAGCTGATCCTCCGTATCGACAACGAACAGATCCCCGTGCGGTGTATTGTCAAGGGCGTCACCCTGGTCGATGAGGCAAACACATCCTCCAAGGCAGGCCAGGCGAATGCTCTCTTGGACCCCACCGATGAGAACCCCCTCGCCAGAGGTATCCTGGGTGACCACACCCAGGTCTTTTTGCAGAAGGGGACACCCCCCACAGAGAAGATGATCCCCATCAACATCACCGGTGCGCCTAGACGTGGTGGGAACGCCGTCGTGCGACCAGACTTCAACTTCTCTTCCTTGGGCATTGGAGGTCTCGACGATGAGTTCACCACGGTTTTCCGCAGAGCTTTCGCCTCCCGGATTTTCCCACCGTCTGTCATCGACCAGCTCGGCCTCTTGCACGTCAAGGGAATCCTGCTCTACGGGCCCCCTGGAACCGGAAAGACATTGATTGCGCGTCAGATTGGAAAGATGCTCCAGGCCAAGGAGCCCAAGGTCATCAACGGCCCTGAGGTCCTGAACAAGTTTGTTGGTCAGTCCGAGGAGAACATCCGGAAGCTGTTCGCAGATGCCGAGAAGGAGTACAAGGAGAAGGGGGACGACAGCGAGCTACACGTCATCATCTTCGACGAGCTGGATGCCGTCTGCAAGCAGCGAGGCTCGGGCGCTGGCGGTGGCACGGGCGTCGGCGACAGCGTGGTGAACCAGCTGCTCAGTAAGCTGGACGGTGTAGACCAGTTGAACAACATTCTCCTCATCGGAATGACAAACAGGAAGGACATGATCGATGACGCGCTCCTGCGGCCCGGTCGTCTCGAGGTTCAGGTCGAGATCAGCCTTCCCGACGAGAAGGGTCGGCAACAGATTCTTGCGATCCACACCAAGAAGATGAAGGACAACGGCAGGCTCGCAGAGGACGTGGACCTGGCAGAGCTCGCAGGTTTGACCAAGAACTTCTCCGGTGCCGAGATCAACGGTCTCTGCAAGAGCGCAGCATCTTTCGCCTTCCAGAGGCACACCAAGGCAGGCACCATGGCCGGCATCTCAAGCGATGCGGCAGAACTCGTCATCACCCGGGCGGACTTCATGGGCGCGCTCTCCGAAGTCACGCCGGCGTTTGGTGTGTCCGAGGATGAGCTCACCAGGGCCATCATCTACGGCATCATACCATTCTCGAGGAACATCGACAGGATCATCCAGTCCTGCATGATCTACATCGACGGCCTCCGGAGCGAGACGACCAGGTCGCCCAACGTCTCGCTGCTCTTCCACGGCCCAAGCGGGAGCGGAAAGACCTCGCTTGCCGCGCACATCGCGCAGATGTCCGAGTTCCCCTTCGTCAAGGTCATCTCCCCCGAGCTGCTGGTTAGCTACCGCAGCGAGAACGCCAAGAGCGATCAGATCCACAAGTACTTCACAGATGCGTTCAAGTCGCCCTTGAGCATCTTGATCGTGGACGACATCGAAGGTCTTATTGAGTGGAACCCCGTCGGCCCGCGCATGTCGAACCTGGTGCTTCAAACCCTGAGGGCACTCCTCCGAACAGTTCCTCCTAAGGTATGTTTTCACACCCCCCCTCCCCCTCACACACACACGACTATTTTCTCCGGTCAATCTATCACTTACTCACACACACACACGATACAGAACCACCGCCTCCTCGTCATGGGCACGACGTCGCGGCGCAGCGTGCTGCAGCAGCTCGACTTCACGGACACGGTCTTTGACAAGGAGATCGCCGTGCCGAGCCTGGGCGGGCTCAACGAGCTCGAGAGGGTGCTGCGCGAGCAGGAGACCTTCCGGGACGGGTCCTCGATGGTCGAGGCCATGAACCTGGTCGCCGAGGCCACGCAGGGGTCCAACCAGGTCGGCGTGGGCATCAAGAACATCCTCAAGGTCGCCGAGAGCGCCAAGGCGCTCGACGAGGACAGCAAGGCCCAGTGGTTTGCCGAGGAGATGCAGGTGCTCATGTCGAGGGGGTTCTGAGGCGGGTGTGGGGTTTGCAGTCGGGGTTTGGGATGACCGGCCCTGAGACGGCTATGAGACGGCTGGGTTAGATGGTTAGAGCGGTATGGTCTCGTCCCTTGCGTATAAAGCTATATACAACAAGAGGGTTCTGTTTGAAGAGACTTATTGCACAAGATGCTTTTCTATAGTAGTTAGAGTCTTCTAAATCATCTATTCTATCTTCTGTCCTAGAGTAACGTATCCCGCCTGGATTAAACCTTTTTCGGTCTGTGTGTGCAAACCTGTCGATATCTGTTATCTCATAGCCATCATACAAATAAGCCATGCTTTTCGTGAGTGCAACGGGAGGCATTCATATTCCCGGCTTGCGTCTCCACCTTTTGATCGACTCTGGTGGTGTCCACCCAAGCCTCACAGTCTTGGCCGGTTAGCGTTCCAATTGGGTACCCTCGTCTGTAAGATCCACCATTCGGGTTCACTGATTGAAGGAGCTAAAAAAATACACCAAAAAAGAAAAAAGTTGTCTGCCCCATGAATCGAACATGGGTTTCTTCGGACCGTCGAGTTCTTTTCAGAAACCACAACGAAGTGTACTAACCACTATACTAGGCAGACTTGTAATCAGGTATGAAGATTTCTCGCTCAACTCGGCCCTCATGTATTCCATCCAGCTCGGAATGTGTGGCTGGCCAGCACGCCGTCAAGCACGCAGTCACTGTATAAGTCCAGCCCAAGGTCTGTCTTCCGGTCAAGCCAAGAGGCAAACTTGAAATTAATCCCGACTAAAATAACTAGCTTAACGAAACGTACACACCAACCCCCCTCCCCTCCCCTCCCCTCCTCCCTCACGGGCTCACGGGGAACCCACCAGGGATCACCGGCGTGCTCCCGCTCGAGGGCCTGCTGCTCTCCCTCGCAGTATGGAAGCTGCGCGGCGGCGACGCGTCCGCGTCCACGGCCCCCAGGTCGACGGGGTAGTCCTCGAGCCCGCCCTCCTTGTCGCCGCGGTGCCTGGCCAGCACGGCGAGCCACTTGGTGACGGCGATGGAGGCGCGGCTGCGGTCGGCGGCGCGCAGGTACGCGAGGGGCCTCACCGCGGCGCGGCGGTAGACCTCGCGCGTGGCGGCGCGCTTCCGCAGCTGCGGCACGTGCGGCAGCGCGCCCGGGCGCGCGGCGTAGTCGAGCCCCGGGGCGACGAGGTCGTCGGCCAGCAGCGCGATGGTGTCGCGCAGGCTGGCGGCGCAGACCTGCGCGTTCTGCGCCGCCTGGCGCGCGTAGCCCGCCAGCACCTGCGCCTCGGCCGCCATGAAGTTCCCGCTGTCGGTCCCGCCCGGCGCCGTGGCGGCCGCCGCGTCCACGTAGGCGTCGAGGGTCTCGATGCACGCCGCCAGCCTGTCGCGCACCAGGGTCAGGTGCCGCCGGAGGGGCCGCATGTGCCGCTGGTGCACGGCCTGTCGCTCGCTTGCCTGCGGGAGGAGGGTGTACATCGCGATGAGCGACTGGGCGTATTGGATGGAGAGTATTAGCAGCCGGTCGCTCTCCAATAGGTCGTCGCTGACGAAGTCGGTGATGGTTTGTTGGACTATATGTTGAGAGATTCAGGTTAGCTACGGTGTTTTTACTTGTTGGGTGTGGCAGACCACGGCTCGACAGAGCTTCAGAGACAATTGATACAGGTGGTCAACCCCGGGGCCCAACTCTTACGTTGCGTCTTGATTGTCTGCTGCGTATCAGCTGAGAGCAAATTCTGCCGATATTGTGATGTCCTGAGTGTCATTTCGCCACCGATTCGGTTGATGTCGAATATCGTTCTGTCAAGTATGGCGATTATGTCCCCATATGTCCTTATCCAAGTCCTGGCCTCGTAGTGGAGCCGGTGGTGTGTCACTTGCTCCAACACGAGGTCGTTCGTTTCCAAGGTCAGCCAGTCGGCCAGTAAGGTTTGCTGTAGGTTCCTCCTAAAGATTACATCAGTGTTTTCAGTCTTTGCAACAGTCCTTCTTCAACATGTCACTTGTAACACGTCCATGTTGTGCAACTCAAGCCTATGGGCCCAGGATGACCATTGTGACTTGCCGACGAGTTTGTCATCTTTGCAATTGATTGGGAGGGAGCGCAACATGGGTATTATAGTTATGATAGGGTGGTCAGATGCAAGGCCAGAAACTCACAACATGGGAAGAACCTTGGTGCCGAAGTAGCGATAGTCTTCATCGCCCAGCTCACGGATTATTTCAGTCCTCAGGAGACGGTTTCCACGTGGGTGCAAGATCACCAATGCGTCTGGTGCTGGGAAGAGTTTCAACGCCTGATGGCCATACTTCGCGAATTGGTTGTGCCAAAAGGACTCGTGGGAGAACCGTGCGTAGTCGACGATTGGTATTGGCCGGTCTTGATCGAAGACGGGAGCAGGAGGTTCTAACAAAAAGCCAGTATAGTCTCTTGTGGCATACGGGGCATAGAAGGACCTGTCGACGTCCCTGTGCTGTAGGTCTACGGCGAGGTGGCTCGAGGGCCAGGACGTGCCGACGACGAAGGGTCTCAGCGGGGTGAGCCCTGCCGCGTCCGTCCTCCAATGGCCAATTTGCGGAATAGTGCCCCAGAGCTGTGTTTCGGTTGTTCAGCCTCTTGGTGAATAAATCGAGATATACGAGGGGGACGCAAACCTCCTGCTCAAAGCCTCTGCCCTCCTCACATTGTGGACAATCCTGGAAGCTACAATGTTTTTCGAAAAGAAAACGTGTTAGCCATCTTCCCTGGCAATCATACCTTCGAAGGTGTCTGGAGACTGCTCGAGACAGATGCGCGACTTACAACCAACCTTGTCCGTCTTGTGATTGTGGTCCATCATCTCTGCCTAACAATCTGCGACCTAACCGACGGAAGAGACTGACCATTCTTGGTGTTATTCCCAAGTCCACATCTCGAATAGCTCGTAATGTGCTTTCTGGCTTCCTTAAGTAGAACTCTTGCGCAACTATAATATTCCTTCTCAGCCTGGACTCTAAGAATCAATGGCCTCCTACCAGGGTCCCATATATATGCGCGCGCCCGCTTGTGCTTACTCACAGTGGCATGCGTGCTGTGAGAATAATTGTATCAATAGCTCATTCTATTACAGGTGGTTCCAGAGTGGGATTTGACTCACGGTCAGCTCGTGGAGTATCGTTGAAGCTAAATTGAATGTAGTCGCCATTCGAGCCTCGGGGAATTCCGCCGTCAACAATTGCCATACGATGGAGGGGTGGACTAGGTTGAACAATTGTTAGCCGTGGCATACCTGTGTAGCTGCCATGAAGAGAAATGAATGTTCGCCAGGATGTCTCAATCCGCAAGAGATATCAGGCGCCATACTACTATTAGTAGTGGCCGCCTGTCTCCAATGGCTTCATTTCAGAGAATCCTTTGAACTTACTAACTATAGCAATGCGATCACTTCGGTCATGGTCAACATGTAAACCAAAGGTAAAAGTGAGACCTTGCGCCTCCAATGAATCGTCGAAAGCACCGATGCTGAGGCGAAGATCTATAACATGGTCGAATGCGTATGTCAAATTAGCCACGTGTATGCCGACTAGATGACATCATTTGATCCGAGGATGAAAATTGTGGGCATAGGTTATTACAGTGATTCAAAACCGCGAAAGTCGTTTCTCTGGCCCTGAATCCCAGCTCCCGAAGTTGTGCTGCTTCCCTGTACATCCCCGGCTTGTTCTCGTCTAACCACAACGACGGTAGCGGCGCACCGCTCCTCTCGCGCTCCTCTTGTGTGCGCCCGTCCGCGTAGTCAGGTACTGGACGTAGGTGATAAATGCTGGAAACTGCGTTCCTTTGACACCGTCCTGGTATGTAAGCACCAAAAAATAAGACAAGCTACATGTTTCAGTCAGGCATGACTCACCAGTATGGGTGGTTTGAGTAGATGACATTCGTTGCTAGTTGAAGCGCTGGCTTAATGGCTTCCCAAACCCTGTCGTCCTAGAATGGAGAACCCTTGTTAAACATCTTGACTACAGAACGTTGGAGATGGGTACTTCTATGAGTTACTTACGTCAGTTCTGTAGTACCCTTCTTCATCACCAAACTTCCATCGATAGTCAGGGATAAATCTATTCCAATTGAACCGTTCTGCAGGCGTCCATCTGCCCCTCACCAAGAGACTGGATGGTTAGAGATCACAGAGAATGTTAGTAATCCTTCAGCAACCTGCTTTTCGAAGTTGTGTGAGCAACTAACGGGTGCAAGTCCCCTTCTAGGCCGGGCTCGTTAGATTCGTAATCCGGAAGATATATTCCACGGTCTATCATCTAGAGGAGAGTTCGGTTTCAGAGTCTGAAACAAAAGATTTAAAACAAGTTGGTGCGGTCTGAAGCCATACTGACCTCTTCGGTCGTCGGGCCAAGGAAAACGAATGCCTGCCAGGCCTCTGCCTCTCCAAATGTGTACGCGCCGCCCACCGTGGCTTGATCGGGTCTGGGTATCGTTGGAGTGACGAGAGATCGACCTATGGCCGGGTCTGGATCGTTTGGCCGGGTCTTGGGATAGATGCCGAAGCGTCTACAATTGGTTGTCAGGTGACATTAGTAACCAGTCAGAAAAAAGTCGCGTTGTCCATAAAAACGGCACGCATGAGTGAGATGCTCGCATTCGTACCGAGCAAAGTCCGTCGGGTTTTTGTCCTCATCTCTGCGAAGAATCGCAGGCCTCATGGTCTCCCCCGTTGTCACGTAGACGTCCCTTTGCTGCTTCCCCGTCCCCGAGAACTGTACCCTCGGCGACCATTCCGGGTCCGTCCACTCGGGCATGTAAGGCTCATGATCGGGCACCCGGCGCCATTGGCTCACGACTGGTCCTGGGTCTTCCGGGGCTGCTACGTCCGGGAACAATCGCCTCACTGCGTCTCCTATGGCTTCTTGAGCGCGCCGCGCCCAGTCCCCGATCGAGCCTCGCGCTCCCGGGTCCATGGCCATCGCGCTGGTCTTGCTTGAGATGTTGTTGAATTTTACAGGCGCCTTGGGTGGTATGATGCTCGAGTTCACGATGTAGAATGTGATCGCACTGCTGCGTGATGACACTGCTATATTTCGGCTTGAGGCTGCTCCCTTGCATGTCACATGGGCACAAAGAAACCACCCGTGTCGCACATGCCCAATTTTATCTCTTTGCAGCAGGAATTTCCGTTTGCGTTGTGCTTTGTTCAATTGTTATTAACTCCACAACAACACCCACACGGTGAGCATTGCCAGGTCAAGGTGATTCCAAAGCCGAGACTGATTTATCATCACTCAGAGAGTATGATTTGAAGGCAGCGTGCTTCGAGTCAATCCCCAAGTCTTCTCTCGTCTGGAAATTAAAACACAAGCGGTTGAGATTTTCCCTGCTTCTTTCTAAGACAATGATTGAGACGTGAAAAACAAATGTTGTTGACATTGAATGATTTCCAGGTACCCTAGGGTAGGCATCCTAAAGGGCAATGTCAACTGAAAGTGGCGCTGATCTCTGCCTGCGGAACCGCAGCCCAGATGCAGGTTACACAATCGAGGAAAGCTTATTTGAGCCCCAAATGAGGACTGAAACATGGCGATGTACCTATATATCACCGTGAGACTAGACTTCTAAAGTTGTCATACTAAAGCAAATCATTGATCCGATTGCGCTAGCTGCCTTTCTGCCCATCAAGCCTTTACCAAAATTTTTGAATTACAAATTCTTTTCTCGTAGTCATGCTCATCAACCACAACTCGGGTTCATTTGGCCCTCAGCAGCGCTGCTTACCCGCCGCGAAAGCGAAGGGCCCGATATTGAAGCAGATGTTGGTTCTTTGTCACCAGTTGACCTCAATGATAGGAAGCTGAGGTGAGAGCTAATACTGAAGATCGAAATGATTCTTGCCATGTTCGCAACCAGGTCTAGGGAGCCAAGACCGTCTCGGCTATTGGAAATCGACCCAGTTTTGTGACGTAGACACTCGTGCAATTGTTACGATGTCGCACTGTAAAAGGCGACCATCGGCCGATTGTGCATTAGCAATCGCAAGAAGCGGATCGCCTACGGATTTAGAGATCGGTCCATATATCCTAGGCTCCTCCAGTGCTCTTGATTTGCCCCGAATCCTTAAGTTTGGGCCATGCGTCCCAAGGTTGGCTGGTCGCACATGTTTTAAATGTGCGAGTGCAGCATAAAGGAAATCATCGTTCAGCCAATTTCTTTTTCCCTTTTTATTCTGTTCATCGTGTCTATCACACTGAAATGTCGTCTTTTCACGTCGCGGGTCTCCGTGGTATAGCTCTGTATTCCGCTTTTGGGTCTTACCTAAATCCGTGGGTTGTGGATCAAACAGGACCCGTGGACACCACCTTGGTTTACAGTCCTAGTTTTTTACTTCCCAGCTCCACGACGTGACCGGCAATTCCGATCGAGCATTCCTGGGTAGTATATAATGTAGAATGATGAGTCCAATTCTGATGGGAGTTTGGCGAGATTCTTCTAAAGTTCCGCCACACTCCTCTTACGGTCTAATTGTAATCTTTACCTAGGTCGTCATGATGCACGATCCTCTGAGATTCATTGTTCCTCTCCTCCCTGCAGTGGTTCAAGCAGCCACCACTCATTACCAAGGTGGAACAATCGTTGCTTTCGATAGAGCCAACGAAGGACTTCGAGTAATCAGGGATGGCTCTATCACAGTGACTGGTGATACAATCACTGAGATTTCCGAGTCTCATCCATCAAATATCTCTGCCGACTCGCAAGTAGTCAACATCACCGGTAAAATTGTCACCCCTGGCTTTATCGACACACATCGACACGGCTGGCAAACAGCTTTCAGAACGATCGGCTCGAACACAAGCCTAGTTGAATACTTTTCCCGATATGGCGAGTTCGTGGCAGCCGGATCCTGGACTCCAGATGATGTGTACATCTCCCAGCTGATCGGTCTCTACGAGGCCCAGGCTGCAGGAGTCACAACCACTCTTGATCATGCACACCACACGTGGTCGAATGAGACATCTGAGGCCGGTTTGCAAGCAAGTATTGACTCTGGTGCAAGGGTGTTTTGGTGCTACACGTTCCACAACGTTACGAACTACACCACGACGGAGCAGCTCACCAACTTCAAGGACATCGCCACCAGGGCTGAATTCGCCAACTCTTCTACAACTCTGGGAATTGCGTACGACTCGTTCGGTCCTGACGGCAACCTTGAGGAGATCCACTCTATTATGTCTCTGGCCGACCAGTTTGACATTCCCTTGGTGACCTCCCACTCTCTCCAAGGGCCGTGGCAGATCACCAACTCCCCCGAGGACTTGCACAGTCTTGGCTACCTGAACGGGAGCCGGGCTGTCGTGCTCGCCCACGCCTCGTTCCTGACCGCCACGGGAGCCGCCCTCCTGCGGTCTACCAACCAGTACATCTCCATCACGCCCGAGTCAGAGATGCACTACGGCCACACGCACCCCAAGAACTACTTCATCCAGGACCAGGCAGCGCTGGGCGTCGACACACACTTCACCTTCTCCACAGACATCCTGACGCAGGCGCGCATCTGGCTGCAACAGGCCCGCTACAAGATGTACTCTGACGTCGTTGATCGCTGGATGCTGCCCGCAAACAACCCGGGGAGCGTGAACCAGGCGTTCCTCCTCGCGACGCGTAAGGGTGGGCTCGCCCTGCGCAGGGAGGACCTCGGCGTCATCGAGGAGGGCGCGAAGGCCGACCTCCTCTTCTGGGACGGCGACTCGCCCGCATTGCTGGGCTGGGTTGACCCCGTCGCCGCCGTAATCCTGCACGCGAGCGTGGGCGACATCGACACCGTCCTCGTCGGGGGCAATGTCGTCAAGAAGGGCGGCAAGCTCGTCGTTGATGGGTATGAAGACCTCAAGGCGCGGTTCCTCGAGACCGCGAGGAGCATCCAGCAGCAATGGAAGGACAGGCCGCTGCCAACCATGGAGGTCGAGTCGTCGGCCATGTCTGGTGACTTCCCTGTCATGCAGGCTGATAGGGCGGATGTTGTGCGTGGCAATGGGGACGGGTATGGCGCTGTGTTTTTGTAGGCTGGCTGGAGTCATGTTGAGGTATCTGCGTAGACATAGTACGCAGAAAACCGACCTCCTGCGTTCAAATTAATCAGGGAATATGCACCATCTTCTATATACAGTAATTTGACCCCTTTATGATTATCAATGATTCCCAATGAGTACCAATATGAAATAGCAAAGCAAACTTTAGTATGTCTTCTTTCTCATAGCCAAGACTGTGTCTAAAATGAGGCTTGTGAAAGTATGTCGTGCACGCTGAGCCCCTGAAAAGCAGTCACTCAACGCCGAAGGATTTTAGAGATCCGAAACTTCACCAAGACTTTTGACTTCAAAATTTGCAACAAAAGTTTGTCCAAATTTGGGGAAAATATTCTGACAATCAACCACTTCGCCGGCTATTTGCCCTCAGGCTACGTAGTTCTATCTGTACTGTTATCAGCATTGTGCCTTCTTAATAAAACGCTGGGTCTTGAGTGCTTATCACCGTACGAAGGCGCCATGTATGTCCTCGGACGTATACGGAATAGAAGCGAAACCACATAGGGTAGGAATTAAAAACGAAACCACTTCCTAGCATTATCTATGCCGCATTAGGTTCAGGCCACGTACCCAGGCAGAGTATTCTTACACAATCCTTGGCAGGATATTTTTTTTTCATGCTGCGTCTTTTAGGGTTCACCACTGGGTGAAGGGACCGTACGCAGGATGTGTACTTAGGTACGGATTGAAAACGAAACCACCTACTTGAGTATACAAACATATTTAAGACCAAACAGGTCTGCGAGCTGCCAGCTGTTAATCTTAGTGAGAGTTCTCCGTCCATTGTGAGAAGCATTCTTGATTCCGTCACGCTGTGGAGTTGGTGGATTCCGAGTTTATCGGGTGTCTGTGCCCGAATATTGAGAATCTCGGATGCTGAACCAAACGTTCCGAGGGCCCATGGGTGCCTCATCCGGACAAGCCCTACAACTGCGCGGTCCCCCGGACCGCCATGGTTCGATCTCAGGGCTGCAATGTTTGGAAAATTTAGAAGGAATTCAAAATTGTAGATCTATCGACGTGCTATAATGTTAGTGTTCGTTGCAGTGGAAATGCCTGAATCTACTACCTAGGGAGGGCTGCATCCGCTCTGCCGCTAATGTCCCCGACACTCCCTAGGAACCCAGTTAGCGTGTGATATCGTTAGTATTGCAGATGCGAACGATGGCTCTGGCTTTGAGAATCCACTAAGAATTTTGCCTTTGCCTGGCTGGATCAGCATAAGTATTGTGCGCGGTGAGTTTTCACCTTGTTCAAAGTATTCCGTACCGATACTATCGGCTCGGAGGTCTGGGGGTCGGATCGGATAATTATTACACACCCGCCCAGGCCACAATCGCTGTTTCCGGTGAGATAGTGCAACATCAGGTGAGCTGAGGGTCTCGATGCACTTCTGGACCTACTACGTGTTGGCAGCTGTTCCGTACCCCAGGGGGCCGACCCAATGTTCCACTTGAATCGGCCGTTGGTAGGAAACAAGCTTTCCTGTCTTCGTGCTCCCGCATTTACGCGAGCAGCGAACCGGGGCCATGGCGAGACACCCGCAGCCCTGCACTATGCGTGAACCCACAAGAAAGGAAACATGCTCTGATTTCCCATTAGGTTGGTTACGTAGAGCACCGCTTCCGAGTGCTGGGTATGTCTTCCGATTCCAAACTCGCCCGTTGAAGCTGCGCGAGCTCCATGGGCAACCCCACAAGAAAACCGGGTCTTGACTCGAGATCTCGAGATGTCGTCTTGCACATGGCATCATCATCTCGACATGCTGAGGGGCACACGTTCACACGGTGGCAGGACCTCAGAACGGCCATGTCGCGGAACGCAGCGCGGAACGCAGCATTCGCGAACTTTCGCTCTCAAGCTTAGAAGCGACGAAGCAAGTCAAGGGACATGCGAGAGCCTCAACGACTATATAACAGTCCGAGGCGCAACCTGATGTGCAGCTTTAGTTTAGGACAACACACAGCACACTTTCAACTCTTCTCTCAAAGCTCTCCTACGAAACTTTCCCAACAATATCCAAAATCTTGACCCCCGAAGATCCGCCAAGATGCTCGGAAAGATCGCACTCGAAGAGGCCTACGAGATGGCCGGTATGGAGGCCAAGTCTCAGCGTGAAGCGGCCTTGTATATTGCGAAGGACGACCGCACTCGTTACATGAGGCAAATCAGCGATATCAACGACGAGCGTGTTAAGCTCGCTGACGACCACGGTATCGGTTATACGTGAGTGCCTCCGATGCAAAGCTTCTCTGATGCACTTCATCAACCAGCCGCAATGAACCACAACTCTGACATTGACCAATACAGGATCGTGTCTCTCACCGTACCTGGCATCCAGGGCATCTGGGACAAGGCCGAGGCCGAGCGCCGCGCAACAGAGGTCAACAACTGGGTGGCCGAACAGATCAAGTCCAAGCCCGACAAGCTAGGTGCCTTTGCCTGCCTGTCGATGCACGACCCCGTGCAGGCCGGCAAGGAACTCACGCGCTGCGTGAAGGAGCTCGGCTTCCACGGCGCCCTGCTCTGCGATTTCCAGCACGCTGGCAAGAACGGCGAGGAGTACCTCTTCTACGACCAGCCTCAGTATGACGCCTTCTGGGAGGTCCTCACCGAACTTGACGTACCCTTGTACATCCACCCCGCCGCGCCCGCGGATGTCGTCTTCGACAAGCTCTACGCGCAGCGCAAGTCGCTCATCGGCCCTCCCCTGTCCTTCGCCAATGCTGTCAACTTGCACCTGATGGGTCTCATCGTCAACGGCGTCTTCGACCGCCACCCCAAGGCCAAGGTCATCGTGGGCCACCTTGGCGAGCACCTCCCCTTCGACTTCTGGCGCATCAACCACTGGCTCGAGGATGTCAAGCGGCCCATCGCAGAGGAGGAGGGCAATAGCCGGTACTGCAAGAAGACCATCTATGACTACTTCAAGCAGAACATCTGGGTGACCACCTCGGGCCACTTCTCCACCCACACGCTCAAGTATGTGGTGGACGAGATCGGAGCCGACCGCGTCCTGTTCAGCGTCGACTACCCCTACGAGACTATCGAGAACTGCTCTGCTTGGTGGGATGGAAAGGCTGAGGAGGTCAAGGCTGCTGTTGGTGGTGTGGAGAACTATAAGAAGATTGGCAGGGACAACGCCAAGGCACTCCTAAAGCTGGGCAACTTCCACGACTCTGAGGCCCCAGTGTCCTAAACTACTGCGCTTGATGGCACAGCATGTATTTGATTTCATAGCAGCGAAATTGCATTTCTTTTGATTTAACAAATACCATTTTGTTTACATTGCATTACGCCTCTGGCTCGACTGTCTCGCACTCTTCCAACTTGTTGAAATTTGGAGACACTTTACTGCGTCGCAGACAATGCTGATGACGGCTGAGCAGCAGAAGGATAAAGCTCTCTCCTCCTCATGTGCCCAAAAAGTATCATGTAAGTCAAAGATCCCACCGTGATCAGCATTATACGTTTCGTCTAACCGCTAGAGCTTTGAACGTTTACCATTAAATGAAGGTGCCGTATGTTGCTTTTGACATATGCAACTGATGTCCACAGAAACAGCAAAAGGAAAAAGTCTCCCCTCTCGGATTTGAACCGAGGACCTATAGATAATCTTGCATACAATTACAGTCTACCGCTCTGCCAGCTGAGCTAAGGAGAGGATGTTGATGCTGCGTGGGCAGTTCAAAAGACTCAAGGAGTTTGGTTTGCATCCACAGCAGAGAACAAAAGCGAGCAAAAAACATACAGCACCGGGTATTCGCTGGTCGTCACCGACCCAACTACTAATCCAGCGATTAGTGGCTTGACTATGGGAGAGCGGACGGGATCCCGTATTTTCCACTATCTATGGCCGTACGTGCTTGGTGTGGATGAAAGACAGCTTATATTGGAATCAGTATCTGCTCAGGTGCAGCCAGACGCTAGCCCAGCAGCTCCATACAAAAACCTACCAGACATCGAAATCGCTGGAACATGTTGAGACTGTTGAGAAATGTGGGCCTACATGAATTGTCATTTAGGATCAACAAAAGTGGGGGCTCGGTTGTCCTTACGTACGTAGGTAATTGTGGTCCATCGTCGGTACACTGGATTCACTTCTATTCCGCATACGTCCGTGGACATACATGGCGCCTTCATACAGTAGTAAACACTCAAGACCCCGCGTTAAAAACAATTAGGTGCATTAATGTGCCGAAGCCTTCATCCAAGAGGCACGACAGAAGATGAGGAATATAGTCGCCCTTAGCTCTACATTCAACAGTTCACCGTCCTGGCCTGATATGCATCCACCCTCCCATTACGCTCAGTGACATCCCAGCCTCCTTTTTCTAGGTAGAACCTGTCAACGATCAGCGTAATCCAGTGCTTGTTTGTGGGGCACAATTGCGCTTCGGTCGTGGGCTCTCTCGTTCAGAGTCAGCGAAGACATCTGTGGAGACGTGACGCTTACGACCTCTCGAGATGCGAACTTTACTCAAGCATTGCTACTGTAATGTCTGTCGGCCGGCCTCGTCCAATATTGCAGTCGCTTATCGGTATTTTCTCATTTTGCTATATTAATCCCAAGGGACAAGCCCCAGCAGAGGCATTCGCGCTCACAGCTCACCGTGACCAGCTATGCTCTTTACTAACCAGTATATGACTATATATAACAAGAGCAAAAACACATGTTCTATGTTAAGACCCTTGAGTTGCTGTCTCATGCAGGAAAAAGATCAGGCCACCGCCGAGTGTTCTCCAGCAGCCATCGTTCCCAGTCTTGCATCTGTGGATTTAAACTGCGACATGTTTCCACATTCCCTCCGTACCCCTCCTTCTCAAACAACTCAAACATATCCCCAACCGTATCCTTTTTGTCCCATTTCACCATGCTCCCGATAGGACATGGTGCGAGCGGCATGCTATGACCATTCATTGCTTTTCTGAAGATGATTTCGGCTTCTTCCTGTGTCAACTCATCCCCCACCAAAGTCACAGCTTGGTTCCGGAAGGTGGTGGACTCTGGATTCGCAAAGCTTTGAGCAGCGAACCACCCGATATCTTTTGTGGCCACAAACTGAAGCTTCTTGCCCTTGTGGCCCATCTGCTCCCACATCCGAGCAAATCCGCGGCCGTGCAATTCGCCGCCCAAGTTCTCGAAGAATGTGACAGGCCGCAAGATGGTAAATGTCATGGCCGACGTACTCTGCAAGCAAACGGCCTTGAGGTGATTCTCGATGTTGAATTTGGCGCGAAAGTTGCGCACGGGTGTTGGATTTGTATCGGACTTGACAGGTCCCCCACGATCCCCAGAGGCGTAAACAAAGTGGCGCACACCGTGGCGCAAGGCGGCATTGACAAGCTCTATACCTTGGGTCTCCTCGGCGTTTGCATTGATTTGGACGCTGTAAAGATCCCACACCGGCTCGCCGACTGCGGAAAAGATTGCTTCGGGGTCTGCGAGATCCCCGGCGACCAGGTGGATCGCTGAGCTTGAAGATGCGAGTTCTTTTGCCTGGCGCGATTCCTTCGATCTTGTGAGAGCAAAAATCTTTTCAAATTTCGTGCCATTTTGAGGAGACGACCCGTCGACCTCGTGATGTTGATGGAGGAGTGCGGCGATCACGGACCGGCCCTGTTGGCCAGTTGCGCCAATGATGAGGATATTGTGGGCAGGAGAAGAATTCATTGTAAGTAATATAAGTGGGACAAGTCTTGAGTGCTTACCACCGTATGAAGGCGCCATGTATGTCCTCGGACGTATACGGAATAGAAGCGAAACCACATACCTCTTATTATGTCAAAGGTGGATGGTTGCAAAAGAAAATCAGGTCTGGTTTATGCATCGTATGATGTGATAGTCTATTGAGTAGCCGTGATTGTTGGAGAATATCGAAGCAACAACTGTGTGACTGTGGCGATGAGCCACCCAATGACAACAGCAAGCAGCAAGCCCGTCATCCCCTTATACCTTTCAAAATCTTCTATTGGGGCCTTCATGGGAATCGCAGCTGAAGCAGCCTCAAGCCGACCAACGCCAGCCTCGTGTCGTGCGGTATCCGCTGCAGCCCCGGCTTTTGGTTGGAGCAAGTCAGCTGGTGCCAGTATCTTTTCCGGATCCATCTCCTTCAGCGCCACCAAAGCCTTTTCAACGCCTTTCTGAGACTCAAAACGTGGTTCAATACCCCACTGGCCTATATCAGGTCCTTGTGCATTCCTGACCAAGTCCCGAACCTCCTTCCGCCGGATCACTTCCGGTGCTTTCGCAGCCTCCGCCTCGAATCTCGGGACGCTTTCCAGGACGGCATGGTCCCACTGCCTGATCAAGTCGTCTTTGACATCCCGCTCCGAGTCCTCGACTAGTCTTTCGGCTGTCTGAAGCGCCGTCATCCCTGACGCCTCATCGCGGTAACGCTTGTCAATGCCCGCGGCTAAGAGCCGGCGAACGGGCTCGGCGTCGCCGCTGACCACGGCGGCATGGAGCAGCGCAGGGCGGATCTCGTGGTTTTGGGGCATCTGTGCGCCTTTAACAATGAGGTAAACACACATGTCGTAGCGATAGAAGCTCTGCGCGAGCTGCAGTGCCGTCATGCCCCACTTGTCCTTCGTGTCCAGGTCGATTCCGGCGTCGGTCAGGAGCTGAAGTGTATCGGAGCAGGACCTCAGGACTGCGAGGTGTGCGCAGGTGCGTCCATTGTTGCAACTGGCTGACAAAAAGCGTGCGCTTCTTGGCAGAAAGAGCTTGAGCAACTCCACGTTGCGAGGGTTTTCTTGCTTGATCACTCGCCAGAGTAGGGTTTCGCCGGTATAAATATCTATCTCTGGGTCGAGTGGACCAGACGAGCTGTTAAGCTCTCTCTCAAACACGGCGATGCTTTCTGTGTGGAGAGCAGATAGGATTGTTGACTTCAGGATCCTCGACGTTTCGTCGATCGTGACTCCTTTGCTTTCAAAGGCTGCCCTGATATGAGATGCCCAGAGGTTCGGGGATGCGTGCTTCGCCCTCGCCATCGCGCTGAAACCCTCGCCATCCTCCAAGCTTGGGTCCGCGCCTTCACTGAGGAGGAATTCGATCGTTTCCACTTGTGCCTCTTCAGAGAGATAGCGGCACGCAAGATGTAGCGCGGTCGCCCTGTGGTTGTCACGGGAGTCGATTTGGAAGGACTGCGGACGAGAAAATTGCCCGAGAACCAGCTTGACCACTGGGAGATTCCCCATCGAGGCAGCCAGGTGCAGGAAGTTGCGTCCATGTTCGTCGACGTACAACAAGTCTAGGTTGTTCCATTTCAAAAAAGTCTCCAGTAAGCCAATTCTGCCTTGATTGATTGCCACACTGATGGCTTCATTCGAGGGCTTTGGATTCCGTCCGTCGGCCAACAACACAGCAGCCACTGAGTCAATCTCCTCGATAGAAACCCCTGAATTCACGACGCTCTCCTCTGCGGTCCAGTCCAAAGCTGATCGGTGTCCTAGGTGGTCGGTCAACGTCAGGTCGGTCGCATTGCAGCTGAGCAATAACTGCACACTGTCTATATGAGCGTGCCGAACTGCTCTCGACAACGCGGTGCAGCCGGCGCCATCTGGCATGTTGATATCGATGTCGGGATGGGCCAGCAGCTTCTTTAACACGTCGACATGACCGTTCTCCGCGGCTAATACCAAAGCTGTTTTATTATGTCGTCCTGGAGCCCTCAAATTGACATCAATGACCTCTCTGCTGAGCAATAAGTCTATCATTCCCAAGTAGGAGGTCTCAACAGCCTCTATCAGAGGCGTCATTCCCTTTTTGGTGAGATGGTTGGGGTCTGCACCAGCATCCAGGAGCATACGCGCAACTCCAATATGCTTTCTTCGACAGGCATAAATGAGAGACGTCTGGTTGTACGAATCCTCCCCCGTGGTGATTTCCCCTGGACTGAATATGATAATGGTCTGGCACAGCGTTTCTAAGCCGTAGAAGGCACAAAAATGAAGCGGAGTAATGCCACCGGGCACGTCCCAGTGCGCACCCTCCAAGGATCTAGTGTGCCAGGAAATCTGCATGACACACTCTAGTCTTTCTTGGTCGTTGAGAAATTCCAGGATTCGAAGGTTATTTTCAGCAGTGCTTTCAATATTGCAGGCATGGAAGCCCCAATAGCAAGCCGCGTAGGATGCGAAGGGGTGCTGCTGGATAGCCGCCTCCAGCTCGTCGCCAGAGTTGAATGGTCTTGAGAACACGTCGAGGCGTAGGTAATACAAGCATCCGTCCAGAATCAACTTTTCGGCTTCAGGGAACCATTTCAAACGGTGCTCTTCCATGTACGCTGCAAGTGTTCGGTGGAAGAAGCTCACTGGAAATGTGTTGGCCGTCCCCGTGTGTTGAGCAGTGAGGAGCCCCTGCGTATCCCGCCGGACAGTTGCCTTGCTGCAAATTCGACCAGAAAAATCACTCAAGCTTCTATCTTTAGGTCTGATAGCTGTGGCGTGGGAAAGTTGTTCGAACGTGAGCACCTCGTAGGCAGACGCCACGACGGACATATAATCCCGGGCGACCTGGACGCCATACTTGTCGTTTCTCTCTAGACATAAGCTTAGCGTGGCAGCGTACTGCTCTTCGAAGCTTTTGAGTTTCCCAGAATCCAGTTCGTCTATTAGAGTCAAGATCCCGGCTTGGTTTCTTTGCAGTCCTAATCGGTCCAGGAACAATCGGGCGACCAGAAAGTTACCCTCAGCAGCCCGGCTGACCTTTGACGGCAATGAGTCCCAAAATTCTAAGCCCATTTTCTCTTTCAGGGACCTCAGTATGGGAATGTTTCCGGAGAACATTTCATCATCATCGCCAATGTCTCCGGCGCTGAAGCTGTCGCTAAGAAACCGGGTGACAAGAAGTCTGATGTCTTCCTGCGTTGCTGAAATTTCCACGTTGACTTTCCTTGGTGGCGCCATTGCGTGGCTCGCATCGGAACACCGTCTCTTCTTGACGATGTAGCACTCCCTACATAGCCAGAGTTTTCCCTCGTCAAAGTGGCCAGAGCAAATCCTGCACAGCCAGGCCAGCTCCAGCGGGCCCCGGTCTGGGCCGCACTCGTGACAGTACGCGGCGTCATAGTTGGCACGAGGATCCCTGCGGTCAGTAGTCAAGATGCAAAAGCCTAGGTTCCGTAATTCTTTGATCTCTTCGGAGATACTGTTCATGCAGCCCTCGGCCTCATCGATGGCGTCCACGATTAAGAATTTGGTCGGAAACCTGGACAGCTGGTCGTGAATCAAATCCCTGGCCTGCTCTTCCAGGAGTGAGCGCCTCGCGATCGACCTGGACTTGCTCCAAAGGTTTTTAATCTCCTCCGGAATTTCGCAAAAACCAGTACTATCGCGGCTGGTAAGGAGCTGTCTCAATAGGTTGCAAAGCACAACGTCCAAGGTCTGCCGAGATGCTTGTTCACTGCGGAAGAATATGGATAATATTGGTGTTCCCTGAGGCTCCAGCTGTTTTCGTAAGTCTGTGGCAATGGCTTCTGCCAAAACGCTCTGTTTACACAACAGTAAGTGTGCAGATCGAGGGACAGTAAGGAAGGGGAGTGACTTTTGGAAGTCCTTACCTTGCCCGATCCTGGCTTTCCGTAGCAGTTCAATTGCCAGGAACCATCTTCCAACCACTGCTTATATGTTTCATTGTGATGCATGAATCGGTTCGAACTTGGATCCAGCGCTACCGCTTGCGCTGGGTTTGGTGGCTCTCGTAGGCTGAGAGCGGGTTGACAGATCCAGTTCAAAATCTCGATGGTTCGGTCGTCATCTTTAGCCTGCCTTAGATGCCCGAGCTCCTCTTCAATATGCCCAACTTTGAAATATATATCATAGTTGACCTCGGCGTCGCCGTCTGAAACCATCTCTCTGAACAAAGCGATCAGCCGAATAATGTCGTTCTGTTCCTTCACCAAATCCTGCTTCTTCCATGTCCACTTGGCGCGACGTGTCCATTCTTTGTGCTTAGACTCGACAATGCTTTCTGTCTCGGCTATCACGTGCTCCAATTTCTGCCGCAGCTTTTCGAATTCGGTACCAGTCTTGTAAATATCCTGGGATATGGCGAAGAGGCGATCGCCGCCACCAAGCTTTATGCCGTAGATAACCCCATCATTGGACTTGGAAATGTGTCACGATTTCGAGTAGGGTATATCGAATAGAGCAAATTGACTGGTTATTCAACTATGAATAGTGAGTGTGGGAAGCCTATTCTTATAAATAATAGAGTATTATAATAGGTAGACCTAATTAATTATTTATAGTTTAATATACCCTTTAGATAATTAATTGGTTATTTAAATAGAGTATTATATATTTTTTTATTATAATATTATAAATAATAGATTAACTTTATACTTTAAATAGATTTAATTAAGCTTTTAAATAATAATAAATAAAATAATTAATATTTATTATATACCTTTAAATACTTTAAATATATAAAACTTTTAATTTTATATAAAAGTAAGTAAACTTTTTTATACCTTTTCTTATTATCTTATATTTATATATATTTTATATATATATATATATATATATATATATATAATATTATTTTACTTAAAGGTTATTAAATAAAGTATTTATAAAGTTATTTAAGTTATTAATAAGGTAATTTTATATTTATTCTTAAATATTAAGTATATAATATAAGTATTTTATATTAATCTTTTATATAGTGTAAGTTTATTAAGAAGATTCTTTAAAGTTTATATTATTTATATAGTTTTTAAAGTAGAAGGAGTAGGTATACCTTAATATTATACTTTCTTTTATTATTATATACTTTATACTTTTTTATTATTAAAAGGAGGATAAGGAAGAAGTTAAGTCTATTATTAGTGCTTATTATACTATTCTCTATTTAGGTTATATATATTTTATATTTATTAGTTATAATATTAGTGTGTGTTATAAGTAGGTGAGTGTTAGTTGTTTAGGTTACTATTTTAGGTGTATTTATAGGTATAATTATTAAAAGGTCTTTATTTATATTATTACTATTATTATTAAGTTAATTAAGTAGTTTAAGGTTAATATTAATAAGTTAGTAAACTTATTTTATTATTATTAATATATTTAATATATTAATTTATATAATAGACTTTATATTATATATATAAAACTTTATATTTATAGTTTATTAAATTAATATTATTATTTAAACTTTTATTATAATTTTATTAAGTTTAGTAAAAGAAGGAGAAAGTAGAGAAAAAGAGAATAAGGATAATAATAATATTATTATTTTATATATTAAATATATTAAAGTATTTAAAAGTATTTATACCTTTATTAATTTAATATTTAAGTAGTTTAAAGTTATATAGTATATTTATTTTTATATATTTAAAAGGCTTTACTTTATATAAATAAAGATTTTAATTATTTTATACTTTTAAGTAATTTATTTATATTATATAAATTTAATATATATTTAAAGTATTTAAATTATACTATTAAAAGTTTTATTAACTTATTTATTAATATAAACTTAATTAATAAGTATTTTATTTAAAATAATTCTTTAATATATATTTATTTTAATATTAATTATTTAAATATATATTATTTTAAAATTATATTAATTTAAAAATATTAATTATTAAATTATTATTAAATAAAAATTATTATAAAATAAAAATATTATAAAAAATATAATATATTATAAATTATAAATTTTATTATATATTTAAATATAATAATATTTAATATTATAGGAATAAAGGTAATTATAACTAGTAAATAGTTTGGGTTATATAACCCTAGTTAATAGACTATAACAAGGAACTTGTAGCCAACCTTTTAAACCTAACTTCCTCCCTTTTATACAAACTAACTTAACTAATAAAACCACTCTTTATATATATATATATAATAACCTATACTAATACTAATTAATAGTTACCTTAAATAACTATAAATAATAAAATATAAAGAAATAATTAATTACTTTAAAATAACTAAATTCTTTATAAATCCTTACTATAATATAATTATATTAATACTTTAATAATAATAATATAATTAGGTATAATAGAGTCCTTATATTTATTTATTATAAAGTTATTAATTTAATAAAAATAGCTAAATATATATTAATAAAGTCCTTAAACCTCTTTTATTACTTTATATATTTTATTATATTTTAAAGAACTATAAATATTTTTAAAAACTTAAAATCTACTTATAAACCTTTTCTTATTACTAAGCCTTACTTATACTTCTAGTAAGTACCTTATAGAATAAACTAATATTTTTAAAAACTTAAAATCTACTTATTTAATTCCCTTATTAATAACTTTATTTATATTTAAAATAATATTTTAATTAAAAAGTATAGCTTATATAGTTTATAAATTACTTTTATTAACTAGCTAACCCTTAATAAATAGGTAAACACTAAATACTAAACTTAATTCTATCTAATTCTCCCCCCTTTTTTACTTATTTATTAAACTTTATTATAATAGAGAAGGTTAGAATACATTATATCTACCTTTATACTATTAGATAGAATATAGTTATATCCTATTAATATAATTATAATAATAACTCTTCCCTTTTATACTCTTTTTCTACCCTCTCTCTTTCTTTATACCTACTATACCTTTAATAATACTACTATTACTAAATTCCCTTTTACTTAAAAATAGATAGATTAATAGTTAAAATACTATTATTATTAATATATAATTAGAATTAATTCTAATATTTATTAAAAGATAGGTTCTTTATTTTAATTATAACTATATTGAGAGTATTTCTATTAGCTTAATATAAAGTAAAAAAACCCTTAAAATTAGATTAAATTATTCTCTTAATATTATTTTAACTTATAACCTTTAGGTTATAAATCCATTAAAGACTTAATATTTATTTAAAATTTATTATTTTTAATTTAATTATTATATTATAGTAGTCTTTAAGGTAATACTTAGTATATAACTACCTAGTTTTTAACTAATATTTTAAACATCCTTAATTATTATATATAATTTACTAAATATATAGATACTTTATTATATTCTATCTATTTTTCCCTTTATATTATTATTTATTTCTTTACCTTTAGCCACATAAAATACTAATATAGACTACTATTAAAATAATATTATTATATAATACTATTAGGGATAAAATATATATTATTTAAATAATAGTTAAATTATATAATTCTACTTTATAAAGAGTTCTACCTCTACTAAATATAAGTATTATATACTTAAATATATAGATTCTTTTATATATAAAGGTATATATATAGCTAAATAATAAAGATATTTTTATAAAATTTAAAAGACTTTAATAAATAAAATAAGGAGTGTTTTATAATAGTAAATAAAAATATAATTAGAGAGTTTAAATAAGTCTTTTAGTTTAAATATATTTTTATTAAAAACTAAATTAGATTATACTATTTATATTTACTTAAAATCCTTATAATAAAAGAGTTTCCTAAAGAGCTTAAAGACTATCTATCTTTTTTTAAAATAATAAATAAAGTTTTATATAAAAGTAAAATCCTTAACAACTTATTAAAGAAAGGTATTATAGAGAATTCTATTATATTATTTAACTAAAAGAAACTAAGTATTAAAGAGAAGAATAATATTAAAATAAAACTATCTATTCTACCTTTTTTTAATCCTATTATTATTAAGCCCCCTTATCTACCTTTTAAAATTATAAAATAAAATATTAAGAAGAACTTATAGAATATTAATCCCTTTAAAGAATTTAACTATTAAAAAGTATTTTATACTTTCTTTCTTTAAAATATTAAATAAATAAATTAATAATTAATTTATTAAGAACTTTTATAAAATATATAAAAATAAAAACTTATATAATAAAAACTTATATAATATATTTAATAATAAAATAAAAATCTTTTACTATTTATATAAATATAAGTATTATACTAATTTAATTTAAACTAATATTCTTTTATATATTAAAGGAAAGAGTTAAGATATTTTATATATAATACATAAATATTAATAATTCTTTTAAGTTATTTATTTAAAGTTAAAGACTTAATTTAATAATTAAATAAATTATTAAAACTATTATATAAATTAAACTATTTTTATATTTATTAAACTATAATAAAAGAACTTTAATAAAACTAATTATAAGTTTTATAATTATTAATTAATAAACTTTTATTTATTATTAAGTATTTAAATATAAAGTTAAAAAGATTAATTTATATAAAATAATATATTATAAATAGTTAAAGGTATATTAAAATTTATTATAACTTTATATAAACTATTTAAGTTAATTAAAGAACTATACTTTAGTTTATATATGTTTATTTAAATATATAAATACTAATAGTTAATAAAGTAGTATACTTTCTAAATAAATAAAATATAGAATTATAATTATAATAATGAAAATTAATTTTTTTAATTATTATTATTATAAAGAGTATAATAACTATAATAATAGTTTAAATTATTTATATAATAGCTTTTATAATAAAAGTAATTTTTATAGAAGTTTTAATATATAATTAAATAATTTTAATAATAAGTTTTTAATTATAATAAATTTAATAACTATAATAATAGCTATAATAACTATCTATTTAAATATAGTAATTAATCTAATAAAGAAAACTTCTATTAAAAGTATTATTTTATATATAATTAAAAGAGTTATTAGTTAATAAAGTATACTTTAAAGAAATAATAATATATTTATAATTAATATTTTAATATTTAAATAAATAAAGATAAAAACCTATAAATTTAAACTATATAGTATTTATTATTAATATAGAAGGCCTATAACTTAATAATAATAAAAAAGTAAGAAAGATAATTTCTTAATTAACTTATAGGATAATAAATATAAGTAGTACTTTTAAAGTATAAACTTTAACTATAAAATACTATATTTTTAATAAATTAAGCCTTTTTTACTTTATTAATCTATTTCCTAATAGAAGATTTAATATTAATATTTTTCTTTATAAGTATTTATATTTAATAATAGATATTTATATAAATACTTTTAGGGAATTATTTTAAATATTAGAGCTATAAAGTTTTCTATTAGTAGTTATAATTAATTTTATACTATAAAGAATTAATTTATTTATAACTTTTAATATATTTTATAAAAGTAAGGTAATAATTAAATTTAATAATAAGCTTTATTTTATATTAATAAAAACTATAACTATTAAGATATTAATTAGTAATATAATATTTTATATTATAAAGATATTTACCTCTTTCCTACTTTATATATAAAATATAATTACCTTATATATCTTTTTAAAATACTATAAATAAGGTTATTTATACTCTATAAAAATAATTAAAATAAATATTTTTATTATATAAAAATAGGGATATTTATAGTTTTTAGTAGAAGTTAAATTAAGTAAACCCTAAATATTCTTTATAAAGGCTAAACTTTAATAATTTTATAAATAGTTTAAATACCCTTCTATTAATTAACTTTTATATTTACTTTTAATATTAAATACTTTATTAAAACTTTTATTTTAAAAGTTATTTTTAAGTTTTATTATTATTATTAACTTTATAACTTAATATTAAAAGGTTTAAGTTTAACTTATAAAATAATTATAACTTTAACTATAAAGTAATAATTAATATAATATATCTCCTTTATACCTCTATTTTATATATTATTAATTTAATAACTTTTTTAAGTTAAATATTTTCTTATCTTTTATTTATAAAAGATATATAAAAGGCTTTATAATTAATATAGATTAATATATACCTAAGATTATTAAATTATTTAATTTATAATATTAAAACTAATTTTATTTTAATAAAATTTAAAAGTATTATAAATAATAGAAATTATTTATAAATAAATATTTATTAAAGTCTATTAGTTAGTTAGTAAAATAGAATAATACTATAATCCTTTTAATATATATTTAAAATATTCTATATAAAGCTTAGTTTAACCTTTAATAAGAAAGCTATTTTATAAATAGTATTTAAGGTTATTAATAATATTATAAGACTTAATAGATTTATATTTATACTTTTATATTTAAAATATACTTTTAAATTAATTAAAATTTACTATTAACTCCTTTTATATTTATAAAAGCAACTATTATTTAAAAGGTAATAAAGGTATTATATTTTATAAATATAAAATATTAAATAAATAATATTTTAAATACTTAAAATAACCTAAATATATTTAATATTTTATCTATTCCACTTTAAAGTAATATTTACATTTAAAGGAAAAAGAATAGTTAGTAAGGCTTATATAAACTAATTATAGTTAATAAATATAATATAATATTAAACTTTTAATAAATTAATAATATTTTAATTTATATAAGTTTAAAAGTATTTTATAATATTATAAATAATAATAAGAATTTTAAATAATAACCTTTTAATATAATTATTAATAAACTAAAAGCTAATAGAATATATTAATTAGAAACTATATTATATTTATAAATACCTTTTATAAGTATATAAAAATAGAAAATATTATTACCACCTTAACTATAATAATAAAAATAACTATATAAATTAAAGAATAAACTAAATGTAATATTTTATATTTTTATAAAAGCTTTAATAAGCTTTATAATAGAAAAGAAAAGGAAAATTATATATTTACCTAAAATTCTAATAAAATAGTGTAATTAATATATTAGGTAACCCTTTAAGGAATTAAATATATTAGAAATTTTAAACTTAATTAAAATTAATATTTTATTTTTAAGTTATATAATAAAAAAATATAATAAAATATATATTTTTAATATTTATATTATATATAAAATTAAAGGTAAGAATATTAAGTTATATAAAAGTTTTAAGTTATTCTTTAAGGGTATAAAGATAAGGAAAAAGAGGTATTCTTATATAATTATTAATAATATAGAGGGCTAGTTAATACTTTCTATTAATATTTATAATTATATTAATTTATTTTTAAAATAATAATTATACTTTAAGATATTACTTAGATATATTTATAATTTAAATTTAAATTAGAGAAAATTATTCTAATATAATTATTAAAAAGATCTAATATAAATACCCTTTAAATATTATTATAAGGATTATTAGGCCTCTTTATAATATTATAAAATTTAGGGTCTACTAGTTTACTATATATTAAGAATACTATATTAAGGATTTTAATATAAAGACTTTTATATATAATTTATATCTATTAATTACTAAATTAAAGTATAAAAGAATAATTTTAATATTATAATAATATAGGTAGATAATACCTTAAATTTAAATACTTTTAAATTTATAGAGTTTTAATAAAGAAGATTAAAGGAGCTTTTAAATATAAATTAAAATAAATGTTAATATCTAATATTCCCTTAACTTTTATAAATTATATATTATTAAAAGAATAATAATATTTATATATATTAAAAGGGCTAAGGTGCTAAGTTAAAACTAATTAATATTAAGGTATTAAATTATATATAAAAGTATATAAAATAGTGTATTTAAGGGTATACTTAACCTTTATTTATTAGCTAGAGGTAATATTTAATCTCTTTATAATAGTATAATTATAAAATTTATTTAAGGAAGATTATATTAAGTTAAATAAATATTTATAATAGTAGATTAATAACTTAAACTATAAACTTTAATTTATACTAATAGATATTATTAAGGCTAAACTTATAGTTTTTATAAATGGATTATTTACTAATAATATAAATTTTAATTTATAGATTGGCTTTATAATTATATTTTTATTAAAAATAAAATAAAATAATATTTATTAAAATATAATAGGTAATATTATTTATTAATTTTATTAAGTATAAAAGAGTTATTTAAAGTATATTAATATTTAAAATCTATAATATAGTTAATAATTTTAATATAAATATTATACTTTTATTATATTTAAAAGTTATAAATTACTTAAAATTACTATAAGTTTCTATAATTATTTATATAAATTTATTCTTTTTTATAAATACCTTATTAAATTTAGTATAATTAAAAAGTAACTAATAATTAATATAATAGTATTTTATTAATTATATAAATAAAGAGAGATTAATAAAATCTATTAGATTAATAATAAAAATAACTTAATAGATATAATAATAAAGGTAATATTAAATAAAGTATTAAAAAGCTTATTTTAGTAATAAATTATAATTTTAAATTTAGGCTATATTAATTAAAAGGTATTAAATTCTATTAAACTTTAAATATTAATAATACTTAATATATAAAAGTACTTACCTTAATAAAACTAATAGTTATTAGAATTTATAAATAGAATATTAAAAATAATTAAATTTATAAGTTAAAAATAGAGAATAATAACTAAAAAGTTAATAAGAAGATAAAGATATAAAGTTATAATAAAATAAATTAATAAAAGTTTAGATTTATATTTTATAAGTTACTTATATTTAATAATTAATAAACTATATAATAGATTTATAATTAGCTTTAAATTTTTAAAAGTAAACTTTATAGTTGATATTTAGATTAATAGCTTATATTAATAGGGTTAAAAATATATATATTATTATTATTATATAGATATTTAAATTACTAGTTTATATATAATAAGTGTTTTTAATTAGATTTTATAATTATAATATCTATATTATTAATTTATTTAAAAGTATTATATTATAATATAATTAATAATAATAATATAATAATAATATAATAATTATATAATAATATTATAATAAGTTTTTATTTTAAAAGAATTATAAATAGTTAAGCTTTTATTTTATTAAATAATCTATAATATTAAGGTTAGAGTTATAAAAGTCTATAAAGGTTTATAAAAGTTTAGATCTTTATTTATTTATATTATTTTATAAATAGTAAGAGTATAAACCTATATATATATTTAAAAGTAGTTGTTTATATACCTAAATTTAGGATTTAAGGTAAGTAATTTTATTAGGATTAAGAGATTTATATATATAAAATAGTATATTTATTTTAACTTTTTAAAGTGGTAATTAAAACTAAAATGTATAGACTAGGCCTCTTTAATAATGGTAATGGTGTTTTATGTATACCTTTATTTAGTGGTACTTTAGTAGAAGGAGTTACTTTATTGTTATAAATTAAGAAAAAGATGAAAGTTTGAGTTTAATTTAACTTAAAGGACTTAAAGAAAATTAGATTTTTAGAGTAGTTATTTAATTACTTAATAAAAGATTATTAGTATAGGAATAAAGGTAATTATAATTAGTAAATAGTTTAGATTATATAATTCTAGTTGGTAGACTATAATAAGGGATTTATAGCTAGCCCTTTAAGCCTAGCTTTCTCCTTTTTATATAAATTAACTTAATTAATAAAACTACTTTTTATATATATATATATAATAACCTATATTAATAAATATATTATTATTATTATTATTATTATTATTATTATTATTATTATTATTATTATTATTATTATTATTATTATTATTATTATTATTATTATTATTATTATTATTATTATTATTATTATTATTATTATTATTATTATTATTATTATTATTATTATTATTATTATTATTATTATTATTATTATTATTATTATTATTATTATTATTATTATTATTTAATATATATTTTAATTATTAAATATTATATTAAAAAAAGAATATTAATTATTTAAAAAATTATTTTATAAATTTAAATAAATAAATTAAATTAAATTAAAATTTATTATATTAAACTTTTTAAAAATATTATATAATAAATACTTTTTATAATATAATTTTTTTATTATTTATAATAAATTATTGGCGTCAGCCGGTGAATGAGAAGTCCGAATAAGTGAGGGGGTCGAGAAGTGCCGCAGCGTTGGAGCCGGCGTCGTCGTCAACGAGCTTAGATATTTCAATGGCGTTGTAGACGTCGATTCCGAGTGACTGGACATCGTACATGCGCGCACCGCGGCTACCGCTCGGGGTCTGCATTGGACCGTTTGCCGGACGGCCGCCGACCACAACGTTCTTTACACCGGCGTCGTGGGCCATCATCTCCATGAAGATCGAGCAAGCTGAT